GTGCTAGAAGGGTTTCCCCTCCCCTCTTCAGTAGCCAGGCAGAGGCTGATGCCAGGATGTTTGCTTCCTTTTCTCCTCTCTCAAGAAGTCAGAGCAGAGCCACAAGAGCAGAGCCAAAGAGACCTTCCTGAGAGCTACTGCCTAGCGCAGGGGACAGCCTGCAGTCGCTGCTTTTGCCCTCTGATTTATGCAATGGCCTCTTCGGTTAAATTGCATCACTCAGTAGCTGCTACCTGTCGCATCAGCCTAGCCTCCTATCTCTCAGTGGAACATTGCTCCAGGCTGTGGGTTACACATTGTCTGGTCTCCCTCTTGCATCCTGCCTGTGATAGGCTGTGCCAGCTGCTCATCTGCCAAGACTGAGGCTCTGGGATGGGCACTGGGGTGGAGACAAGGCCCATCCTCAGAGAGCTTACCAATTAATTGGGGGCTGGAGAGAAAAGAGCCCTGCTCTCACCATATGAGGCCTTGTAAGCCGTGTGTAGTGTTTCCTCTTCTAGGGCCTCTCTCAACTCTGCTCTTGGGTAGGTAACTGGTCCCCAGTCTCTATTCCATTATAGAAATTGATCCTGTGAGTTACTCCAAAATGAGCGCCTCTGTGCCTTTGCAAAACTAATTTTTCTGTGTCTGCGTTTGTGCACGTGTTTCACCCTGGGTCTGGCATCTGTCTGTGTGAATCAGCAAGTGCTATCTTGCATCTGACGATGATATACTGTGGCAAAATGAAGCAGGATCTGGAGTCAGAGACTTAGGCTCTTGTCTTTGTTCTGACACGATCCGCTGCGGGCCCTTGCCAAGCTATGCAACAATGTGAAACATCAGTTTCTTCATCTATAAAATCAGATTTCAAATTTAGCCACTCACCAGCGTGTTAGAGAACTCAATGGAATAATAATGTACATCGATGTTACTGGTGTATATTAGGGAGTCAGTGAACCTTTGGATAAATCTGTTCCATACAAGAATCTGAAACCTGCTATGAATCTGTATCATGAGGCCACCGGATAATGAGGCCCTCGTGTCACTTCCACATGACAATAATATCTTACATTGGAAAAATAGATTATCATTTACAAATAGGGAATCCCACAGTCTCTCATTTTATAAATGACAAAGCTGAGATTCAGAAGAGTTAACTATGAAGTTCCTGGCTGGAGCAGCCCTCTGATTCCCTTCCCTCAAATTTCTACCGCCGCCTCCTCCCTCCTCCCTGATCCGAAACTCAACCCAGTGCGGCTCCAGGAGGCTGCGTGTGAAGTTCTGCATCCGGCAGATGCTAAAGTGACAGATCCCCTGAACCGCGTCTTGGAAGAAGACCACGAGCTGGAGCTAGCCCTCCCTTGGCACTGCCAGGACAATAAAGCCTCCTAGAAGTCGCGTGAGAAGGGTCCTGTGGCAACTCCTGAAGGCTGGATTCTGAGAGCAGAGAGAGAGACTACCACTGCCGAGCCCCATTTCAAGCCAGGCACATTCACAGCTGAGTTCCCACCGAATCACCGGAACCCGTTGCTCCCGACCTCTTATGGGGTAGGTCTCATAGCCCTTTGAAAATCTGCTCAAAGCTATGGATTCTTGCGCCCAGATAAAGGGACCAATTTACACACAAGGGAAGGAGGATCAAGGTTAAGACCCCTGGTATGAACCTGGGATGTTTTAAGATTTTCTTCTGGGCACCGCATGCCACGCTGGCCCCAGTCCTGGGCGCACTGAGCAGGCCACTGAGAGCAGGCATGGTGGCACACACCTGTAATCCCAGCGCTGGGGAGGCTGAAAACAGGAGGATCACTACAAGTCCAAGCGAGGTAGTGACACCCTGTACCAAACACATAAAAAATAAAAAATAAAATTTTTAAAAAGATTTTCTTAGGCACCAAGAACTGGAGGCCCATCCTGATTATATCAAATACTTTTGTTTCCAGTTGTACCCACAGTGAATATATATATATATATATATATATATATATATATATATATATATATATATATTCTTGCACATAGATACACACATCAAACTGAATTCAGTTGACTTGATTGATATAATGTGTTACACTTGCAGACCTTTAATAAAAATAAATTTCAATTTTATGCTGTCTTCCTTTTTTGGAACCGATGAATTTTTTGGCATATCTCACACGTACAGAGGAAAGCACAGATCTTAAGCATCCAGTGCAATGGAGTCTGGGGACGAGCGCACCCCTGTTCCCGGCACTCTGGCCAAGCGCAGGACATCAAAGCTCCCAGGAGTCCCCAGGCCCTGCTGCTTCACCACCTCCTGCCCAGGGAAATCGCAACCCTCATTCTCACAGTGTTGATAAGTTTTATCTCTGAATTTGCTTCATGTGGGACCATAGTTTTTGCTCCTTTTGTATCCAGCTGCTTTTGTGGAACCAGGAGGTTTCTATATTCAGGTCTCATGTGCTTCCAGAGGCCTATGAAAGGCCCCGGGGCTCTTGGCACTGTCAGAACCAGGAATTCTTCACCTTGCCTTCATATTAGAATTCCCAGGGAAGCTTTTCAAACTCCTGGTGCCCGGGCTCTGTGGGGTCCCAGGACAGTTAAATCTCTCCTATTAAGAGAGAAAATCAGGCACTTGGCAGCTTTTCATGGTTGCAGCAAAGGTTAAAAACCTCAGGTCCAGGAGTCTCCACTGTACTGACGGTCATGTCATGAAGTGAAGCTGAAATTCAGAGCTGACTTGGAGTGGTATTTGTTTTCTCTCCTCCATGGGTAAACAGTGAGGCCAAAGCCAGGTCAGCATGCCCCCTGTGCAAACCCAAGATGTGGTGTGGAAGACAGGGGTTCCCAGCCAGGGCTGCTCAGAGACAGCCCGGCACTAGCCGTGAGAGAGAAGTCACCACCACTCAACTCCACCTTCATCCATGCCTCTACTCTGTGTGTGTGTGTGTGTGTGTGTGTGTGTGTGTGTGTGTGTAACTGGGGATTGAACTCAGGCTCTTGTGCCTGCCAGGCAAGGATTTATTCTACTGAGCTATCTCCCCAGCCCTCATCCATGCCTCTAGAAGCCCCGAAAGCTCCTTGCAGACAGAGACAGCAGGGGCAGGATTAGGGGGCCGAGGGGGAGATTCCCAGGTGGCGCTGTCTGCCACCGCTCTTAGCTCTCGGATGTAGTGTGTACTTCTGCCACCCAGTGGCACTCACGCTTCTGTAAGCCCTGAGATCAGCATGCATAGCCCCTCCTCTGGGCCAAAGGAAGAAAGCTGGAGTGTGTGCAGCGAGACCTGTGTGGGTGTGCCAGGCAGGCTGCACCCCTTGACAGGCACATGGTGACGACTTGGGGGCAGCCTGGCTGAGGCAGGAGCAGAGCTCTTCTGCTCCACAAGTCCTTACGGGGCCTGTCCCTGGCTGGCAAGGGGCTGCAAGGACATGGCTGCAACCAGAACCAGCCTGGAAACAGCTGCCCCCAAATGAAGCCAGCAGAGGGAAGCCACGCTCACGCAGCCTGCAGAGAAGGTCTTCCCACTGCCGTCTGGCAGGCTGGCCCTCGGGGTCCTGCCTGCCTGTGAGCACATGCACCAAGCGATGCCCCAGACATGGAGGCCCAGCCCTGTCTCAGAGCCTCGGTGCAGCAGCTCCGAGTCCTCTGAGGCTGCCAGATCCAGCTCTCAGGTGGCTAAGGAGTGTCTGCATCTGGATCTCTTCATTTTCTTCCTTGTGGTTTGGAGTCAAACAGACTAAACTTAAAGCCAAGCTCTGCCACTTCCTAGTTGTGGCTTTGGCAATTTAGCATCGCTGTGCCTCAATCTATTCCTTTGTAAGATGGGAATGGTAATCCACACCATAGAAGGCTGCTATGAGGATGGACCAGGAGTTGTGTAGCCTTAGCCTAGTGCGTGGCACATAGTGCAGAATCGGTTAGCTATTGTTTATCGTCATTATTATTACTATTTGAAAGTGGGTCTACTGGATGCCTCTCAGCACTCCTTGAATTTTACCAGTGTGAAAATCCTTAGCCGTCCACAGGGCCTTCTCCTTAGAACAGCTTGGCTGGGGTTTGAGTCTGGCCTCAGGAAAGAATAAACTTCCTACCCCAAAGAACACTACGAAATGACCTGTGCGTGTCAAAGCACAGCCCCTCTCCCCAGCCCAGGTCTGAACAGAGGTAGTGGTCCAGGCTGCCCACAGCTCAGGCAAATGCCCGGCCGTTCCTTAGTGGCAGTGGCTGAGAGCATTCAGAGTCCCATTCAGCACCACCAGAGGGGACCCCGCTCCCCACCCCACAGACCCGAGCTGTTGCCACACAAGTCAAATCTGCTCCGGAGCAGACTCTTGGTCCACAACCTGTTACAGTCAGACCACCCTGTCCTGACAGACCCTGACGGCAGCCTCTCACAGCTTCAGGCAACTTTCTGCCTGCGTTTCATTCCCGTGGTGTCAGAGTGTGCACTGGGTGGGGAAGTCTTGGTTCCAAGCTCATCAAACAGCTCTGTGACCTGCAGTAAATCATTTCACCTCGCTGGGCTGCATTACACCTGTATGAGAAGACTCAAGTCACCGTTAAGTCCCCTCCCACCTGTCGATATGGTGGCACACAGTAGGTACTCAGCTAATGTTTCATTTTATAAAATCCAAGACATGGTTGTACTAGGTTCCAACACCCAACTGCTTTCTGGTCTTTATTACTGACCCAAACCCTTGCAAGCCTCGGCCTAGGTGAAGAGCTTGGGAAATGGGAAGAATCTAATTCATGAATAGATACTTGTAGCCTGGCTTTCAGCTGAACCTGCTTCCATGGCCCAAGGCTGCAAGTGCCCCCCAGCACAATACTGAGCTTAAAGGCCCTGGACTGCCTAACCCCCACTGTGAGCCAGAGCCCCTTTGCCTGTGTGGGGTCTGTGTCCTCCTCAGAGGCTCGGGATCCTGTGCATCTGCTCGAGGGAAGGGCACTGAAAGCATCACAGATGCTAACGTTGTGCAAGTCCTTTTATTGGAAAAAAATAAAAAATAAAAAATCTCCCATGGGAGATGCACAAGTCAGACACAAGGCCCAGTGACCCAGAGGGCCAAATAGGCATGGACAACAGCTGGGGGTCAGGGGCTGCAGTGGATACCACCGGGCTGCCGCTCTCTGGGGGGTCCTTGCACCCGAACTCACTGAGGTGCAGGTCCCTTGAGGCCTCGGGGGTGGGCCACTCTTCTCCAGCCCTCTGGGGAGGCTCCTGCTCCCACATAAGAAAGTCCAGTGGACAACTAGGCCCCTCTTTGGTTCCAGAAAACTACCCGAAGGGGCTGGTGTTCCATAGCCACCCCTAGCACCTCCTGCCAGCTGAGGCAGGCAGCCCCCTTCTGCCCAACTTCGGGGGACTGCACCAGGCTGCTGCCTTCTCACCAGCTCCCCTGGGCCTCAGCAGCCAGAGCCCTGCTGACTGGACACCCCTTTCCTTGCAAGGAGAGTCTGCAGGTTGCTGGCTCTTTGGAATGTCCAAGGAGCCTCATGTCACAGCCTGAGAGCACTGGGCAGGCTGGGCATGCAGCATCTGCAGCTCACTGTCCCACTGTGGGGCTGGGAGAGGGGCACCAAAAGCCACCGAAAGGCTGGCTCTGCTCTCCTAGGACCCTATCTTATCTTCTGCTAGAAAGTACACAGGGGAATCAGAAGGTGGGAGAGAAACCAGGAGGAAGAGTCACACAGGCAGCCTAGGTAAAGAGCAGGGGGCTCTAGAGCATTGACTCACAGCATCGGCTGGACCCACACAAGAGACTGCAGACCACCATGGAATGAGACAAAGCAGGACTCGGGGGAGTGGTCAGTACAGCACCCAAGGAAGCACACAGTCATTCTCAGACTCGTGCATGCACGCACGCAGACATTTCCATCCATACGTGTGCATTCGTGTCCACGTGCACTTAAACCGGCCCCTGCACAGTGCCCTTGTGCACGTCTTCATGAGAACGTTCACACCCGCGCTCACTCAGATAAACATGCCTCTGCGCACATCTGGGGACTCATCCCGCACACTCGCAGATGCGTACACTCGTGGGTGTTTTCACACATGCACGTTCACACATTTGTACAACATGCACACAAGCACATTCACCTATGTGCGTGCTCATACACTCACGTGGAAACACACGCACTCACACAGGTTCTGGTATCTGAACACTGGCTCTGGCCCAGAAAGTTCAAACTCCTCACAGCTACATCTCTGTGCAGAGACTCGCCGCAGGCCCCCATAGAAGCTCCCAGAGCCCCAAGCTGTGCACCCCACAACCAGTCCCTGGTCCACTGCAAAGTCTCAGAGTTGGCTGTTGCTTGGCAAGGCTGAGATGGCCTCTAGCTCCAGGTGGAAGACAGGAAAAGCGCAGATCTAGGAGGAGTCGGGAGCGGCGTAACTGCTCCCCACCACAGCGTGCATCTCCCCAGACCTCTGATTCCCCAGAGGCAGGATCATGGACAGGCAGAGGGGTTCTCCATGGTGGCCAGAAAGAGATGACCCTGGGGAACAGTCACAGAGAGCAAGAGAGAGTCCTGGTGGCCATGGGCTTTGGGGTAAGGAATCATGCGAGGTGGGAAGTCTCTGGACCCTCTTCAGGGTATTGGGGAAGGAAAAAGAGCTGCAGAAGAAAAGGCTGCCCTAACTGTTTTCTCCACCCTGGCCTGCCCTAGGAAGGCCTGGCCCTGAGTGACACTGACCAGCCCCACAGGGAAAGAAAGGCCCCAGTCAGGAAGTAGGGGTCCTGCTGGGGGCGGGGGACCACCCTCACTCCCATGTCAGGGAAGCAGGGCAGGACCCAGAGAATGACTCAGAAGCGGGTGCTTTGGTAGCGCAGCCGCCGCAGGTCTGCAAGGCCCTCGCTGCGGCCGTACACCTCCCTGCAGGGACTCTCGGCCAGTCACCGGGTCCCTGCTCCGCCACCCCCGGCGCTGCTGCTCCCACTGCCACTACTGCTGCCGCTGCTGGAACTGCCACTGCTGCACCGGTCCTCGTAGATGGAGATCTCGATCTGGGCTGCCGGTTAAGGAGAGCGGCAGTCACAGGCTACAAAGCAGGGACTGTGAGAGGTGGGGCCAGGAGCCAAACTTGTGCTCTTCCTGGATCATGGAAGAGGGGGGTCCTGCATGTCCCAAGCCCACCTGTGCTCACTCATGTACCCAACCATTACCCAGACCCACAGGGCCCAGATCTGACTTGAGTGCACAGCCAGGATCACAGTAGACCACTTCTTGCCCTCAGAGAGCTTTATCCTGTCCTGAGCCCTGGAAGTGGTGGTATGCGTCAGAAAGCATGCGGACTTCAGAGTGCTGGATTCAAATGCTGGCTTTCCCACTCACAAGCTAGGCCTGTCATGTGAGGTCATGCAGCTTTTAACCCTCCATGATAATGTCTATACAATGGGGATAATAGAGTCCTGGGGTTGCTGTGAAGATTAAATGAAGTCGTGTAACCCACCAAGAGAGACCCTGTTGGTGTGTTCCTTCACATCAGCCCTGCGGTAACCATCTATCAGTTCCCCTTGAGGAATGCAATCATCATGTACTGTAGGCATGCACTGATAAAAGAATAAAAATGGAAGGACAGGAATAAGTTTATTTTTTACCCATCCTATTCTCATTGCTACTGCCTGGGCTGAGCGTGATGTGTGCCTGCCTGAACCCCATGTTTCACGTGGGGTCAGCAGAGCCTTCAAGCCCCCTTCCCAGTTGTCACCAGGACCACAAGCCTAGGGCTCCTCCTGATTCTAGACCTCATTCTTCTCATCTCTGACCAAGGCATGGTGTGACCCACCCCAGGAGATGACAGGAGGATCACAAGAGACTGGGGGTGTTGTATATCTCGAGGGGTGGGGCAGCCTTGGAGTTAAAAGTGAGCTGGGGCCCAAACCCTGGCTCTGACCCTGACCTACTGTAGGACGCTGAGCCAGGTGTCAATGGCAGTGTCCTCAGGTACAAAGGGGACCAAGCGCTGCCTACCTCTTAGGGCTGTGATGGAAGTTACACAAGTTCACAAGGTCAGAGCCCTCACAATGGCATCTGGTGTATGAGAAACTCTGATTAGAGGCAGCTGAGTAGGGCAAGCCCTGACACTCCCCATCAACCCAATAACTATGGTAGAGGGAGCTGATGACCAGCCATGTCAGAATCCTAGGGAAACACCCAGGATAGGATCCCAATTCCTGGCAGCCTCATCAGGGATGAAGGAACTGGCAGCTGTGCGCCCTCACACACTACAGCCAGGAAGGATACAACCCTCATCCCGCGCTCCACGGGATCCGTGAGCAAGAGGCCCCGAGGCGCAAAGACCTTCTCGTTCTGCTCCTGGATGTAGCGAGAGATCTTCTTCAGAACCTGTGAAAACAGGGGCCGCTGGGGGTGAGCATGCAGCAGGAAGCCTGAGGAGGGGATGCAGGGAGCTGGGGTGGTGCCACCTTCTCATAGTGGGTCTCCATGCAGAGGAAGATGAAGTAGGCCGTGGCGCACGCCAGGCAGCCCTCTAGATACGAGCTGCCCCCGATCTTCTCAGCCTCGGCATAAAAGCCATTGAGGGTCTTCACGGTCTCCTCGAAGAGCTGCCGCTCGATCTGGAAGGGAAATGGACAGGCCAAACTATGGTTAGCCTCCCCAGAGTGTAGACAGGTACAGGTGGGGCTGTGTCCCGTGTGTGGCTGCCTGAGGAGCTGTCCCGCCTGCAACCGTACTAATGACTGCTGGTTAAGCACATTCTGTGTGCAGGCATTCTTTTATCCAGTCTCGCTGAACCCCGCGATGATTCTCTCAGACAGAACTAGTGCCAGCCCATTTCACAGGGGAGGACTGATCCACTTCCCTGAGCCCGGAGGGAAGCTGTGCTCCGTGGTCCCAGCCACCTCCATCTCTGGTCTCCCTCCCTCCCTCCCTCCCTCCCTCCTCACCTAATTTCCCGTTAGGGTTGGGTCCTGCCAAGATCTGATCAAGAGCTCCCAGCCTTCTCTTCTTTACAAGTAAAACCAGGGAGTCTCTGCCATGCCCGCCAGGCCCTCGCGGCTGACCCTGTGGCTCCCCTGAGCCTGCCTCCTGCTCTTTCACTCATCGCTTGCTTCTTACAAGTGTCTCAGGTCCTCTGTGCCTGCATGCTCACCTGCAGCTCTCTGTCCACACAGCCCCAGGGCCCATCCTTTATTGCTCTTGGGCTTTGTTTTATCTAATACGTCTCCCCTGCCTCAGCACATCTCCCCAGAACACCCTGGTCCCTTGCCACACCCTTCTAATATCTGTTACCACCTGAGCTACCACATGTTTATTTACTTGGCTTTTTGCTTTTTTTTTTTCTGTACCATCTGATAGAAAATAAAGCCCATAAGTTCACTCCACTCTGCCCAGTGCCTAATCCATAGTAAGTGCTCAGTAAATATTTGGTGAATGCCAAGTGGTCTTGTCCAAGGTTATACAGCTCTGGCCCCAGAGTCTGTGCTTGTCACAGCCACACACCTGCATGGTCACCTTCCAAACTCACATCTGAGGAATTATAGCCCCATGTTTCCCATTCTTCAGAACACCTCCTTCCCCCTCACTCTCACAGGGCAGAACCTCATGTTGTGCAATTTAGGTACCTTTACGCCTGTGTAAGATGAAATTTCTCCCCAAGAATAGTGAGAGTTTTGGATTCCAGGATCTGCCAACACACACACACACACACACACACACACACACACACACCATGGAAGGAATACCAGAGGAAAATACTGTTTATCTGGTCCATGACCCAAGCCCTGCCTCTGTACTGAGAGTCCTTTTTCTTGAAAGGACAGACATGCTGAAATGAGAAAGAAAGCTGCCAGGCTCTCCAAGAGCCCCTGGGGCTCAGACCAGCAGAGATGGGCCTCATCCATCCGCCCAGGCCCATCTCACCAGAGCTGCTGAGTGGAAGGGCAGGAGCTGCCCTCTGTCCTCCTGTAAGGCAGCCTGAGACAGGGGTGCACACAACTCTAGGATCTGGAGCAAAGCTCAACAGCTAACATCTGTCAAGGGGCCCGTGAGGCACCTGAGTGCCTGGGTCTAGAGGGACAGGCTGTGGGCAGAGCCTTGGCTGACTGGCGAGAATGCCACCTAACAGATGAAGGCTGGGTCTCTGGGTTTTCCCCTTCATGCAAGTCAGGAGGAAGGAGGGAGAAATGGCCACCAGCTCCTCTTCTGGGTTGCTAAGCTCTTCCTGCCATGACTCTGATCACAAAGATCTTTTTGTCTGTACAGTATCCACTAAGGAAGTAATGGTGTCAGAAAGAAGTCAGAGTCCTGTGGGAAAGCAGAGAGGTGAGACACTGGGCCTTCTGGTGCCTTCTAACTTTAAGAAATCACTTCCTCTTTCTGGTGCCTTCTAACTTTAAGAAATCACTTCCTCTTTCTGGCTGTCACTTTCTTGAAAGGATAGATTCATGCAATGCATAAGGCATAATCTAGCGTTCTGGTGAAAATACAGCTTCAGACTCAGGAGTTCCAAGGTGGACCTTGAGGCCTTGTGCTGCTACCAAACTCCCAAGTAACACTGACACTGTCAGCGTTGGCCACAGTTTTAGAAATGAAGGCTAAGGGCTGCACAGCTCTGGCGATACACAGAAGTCACCTGAGCAGTTTTTGTTTTTGTATTTTTTTAAATATTTATTTATTTATTTTGTGTCTGTGTGTGGCCAGCTCAGCCCACAAGGGGGCGGGGCTGGCTGGCATGTGGTGCTGGGGATTGAACCGCGGTCCCTGTGCTTTGCTTAGCTTGTTCTAAGTAGGTGCTTTAGACCACTGAGCCATCTCTCCAGCCCCCACCTGAGCAGTTTTTAAGGTTACCATGGCCAAGTCTCGCCTCCAAGACAGCTGATGCTTATTCAGTCCAGGAAGGAGAAGGGGGAGCCAAAGCATGGGAGACCACTGCTGCTTCACCCTGCCCCATGGCATGCCTGTGAGGTATGTTTTTCCAAAGGTCCCCAGAGACCCTAATGTGTGAGAAGCTCAGTATTAGAAGACTAGCAACTCTTGGATCGTGAGCTCTAAATCAATTCCATGTCACCTGGAAATGGCTCATTAAAAATTAAAGCTTAGAAATTATTATTTTGTATTTAGGACAGGGTCTACAGGGTCTCACTGTGTAGATTGGACTCATAGTGATTCTCCTGTTTACAGCCTCCCAAGTGCTGGGACTACAGGCACGCACCACCACACCCAGTCTCCATCTCTGTCTCAGCATACCCCAGGGATCGAACTCCCAGCCCCTGCATCTGCCTAAGCAGGCACTTTCATTCACTGAGCTATTTGGCTGGCCCTTAGAAATTGTTATCAAAATAACATAATTTATTATTTGGAAATTAAGGTTTAGAACAATGCTGATGCCTGGGCCCTGCTCCCAGAAATTCTGATTTAATTGGTTTAGGGTGTAGCCCAGGCACTAAGATTTTTTTCAGCTCCCCAGGAAATTCCAATGTGCAGCCAACAGCTGCTGATCAATGGAGCCTCCTGAACCACAGCCCAACAGCTGAGCCAGCGACTCTGCGTGTGACACATAATACGGCCCACTAGGACCTGGGAATTTACATTTGTTTAACAAGTTCTCTGAGTGATTCTCATGCAACTGAAATTTGAGAGCTGGTGGACCAGAAAACCTCTGAGGTTTCTTCAGACAACTTTCTATGAGGAAGCAGCAAGGTAATGCTAAGGACCTTCTATTCTCCGCTTTGAAGTAGCCAAACAAATCATAGCCTGTGATACTATGTGGTATGTGATCCTGGAAAAATATGCGTTCCATTAGGATCCTGAATTCAGTCCCAGCCCTGGGTCCCAGTTCATCCGAAGGCACCCTTACCCGGCTGTCCAGCTCAGGGGGGAATTTGGTCTGGAACTGGCAGATTGTCCCATCGCTGTAGTCTCTCTGGATAAAGACTTTGGTGGCCAGCGAGGCACTTCGCCGGAGCTCCTGCAGATTGTGGACCTGAGAAGATATACAGGAAGCAAGTGCTGAGAGTGATCACCCGCATCAGCTTACGCAGTACTGAGGACCTTCCTAGAACGTGGGCCTTGCAGCCCTGAGACAGCAATGTTGCCTGCAGACAGACAGGCCAGCACGTGCCGGCACTCAGGACGGCCCCCAGGGAAGCACAGCTATTGGGTTCATCCAGAAAGTTGCTTGATATTATCCCAAAAGATCTTCAAAAAGTCTAAAACAGGGTCCAAAATGAGCCAAATTTGGGGGTCTGGAACCAACCTCAGCACCAGAAGAAACAAGACACTTGGTGGCCAGGCCTGTGTTGGTGGGACACAGAGATACATGGTACTAAAGCCCGGCCTTGAGAGGGAGACAAAGATAGGGTTGGAGGAAAGGGGCCTTTGGGACGGACAAGACCCTACTCTGCCCCTGAACTCAGAGTGAGACTGAAGTTCAGGCCAACACTGTAGGTAAAATGGGCTAAGGCCAGAGGTTGAAGAACTAGCCTTCCCTGCTAGGAAGGAGTGGGTGTATTTCTATTCATGTCCCCGCATGTGACATTGACACAGACTCTAGCATTCAAGGGAAGTAGGTCCAGTTCCATAGAAGAACAAGACTTCTTCCACCTCTCCAGTCACCCAGTTGGAAGCAAGCATCCCACTGCATGAAAAATGCCCAACGCTGGGACTGTGTGGAGCTCAAACCCTGCAGGCAGTGAACAAGCATCCGGCTCACACTGGGTAATCAAGCTGGGTCTGTTCAGTCACTTAGTTTTCATTTATTGAGTCCCTTCTAGTGCCAGGCTCTGGGGATGCTGAGAAAAAGACAGTCTGAGAGCTCCAGGGAGGAACACAAGTAAATATATAATGAATTAGACTGTGATGAATGGTACAAAGAAGTAACATGTGCTTAGAGAGGCTTACTCCAGAGAAGGCTTCTGAAAACCCTATACTGAGTCAGAAAGGAAGGCCAGCATTACCAGAGTTAGGGAACAGGCAGGGAGTCAAAAGAGGGAGGAAAAGGCACCCAGGCCAACGGAGAAGCACCTGCAGGGTCATGAAGACAGCAGAGCTGATCTGTTCCAGGGGCCGAAGGCAGATTTCAGCAAGCCCAGAGCTGTTTTGCTGAGTAGAGAAAAGCAGAGGGAGATGAGTAGGGAGAGGGAGGAGAGAGTTAGGTCATAAAGCTGGATGGGTCTCTACTGACAAGGGAGGATTTAAGGTGGGAGATGCTTAAAAGCTGGAGGAAAGAATACAGGGAGAAAGATTGTCAATAAGGTAGAAAGCACACAAAATTGGGCATCAAGGTCCTGAAAAGGTGGGAATCAGAGAACACCGCGTAGGACTTTTCTAAATCCCAGTGAACCTTGATCTGTGTAAGAGAGGTGATCCCAGATATTGGGATTGAATTAAATAATAAACACTCTTCTGTTCTTAGTAGTCCTTGAATCCTCCAAGTAAGGTTCGTATTGATGAAATTCCCTAGATGTTTCCGGGAATCCTATAACTTCAAACAACAAAAATCCTTTGGCAATATAAATAAATTAGCCTTTCGTGTATTTGCTCACTTTGGCTAGGGTTTTGATATGATGTATTTTTTTAAAAAAGGGAAAATCTCTGGCCCTCCTTTCTCTTCTGAAACCAACTATCAGACTCAGTCATGGATTCCCTCCACTCTAAAAGGGTCCTCTGGCAGTTCTGTGGGAAGCAGGTAAGCCTGGGGTAAGAGGCCAGTAGGAGGGGTGATTCCTTCAGCAGAAGTTCAGGGAAAACTAAATTAGACCTGAACAGAAAGAAGTGATGGTAAGGAGGGAAGGAAAGGGAAGAAACAGCGCTTCCACCATCGACACGGATTCTGCTTCCTTCCCCCAGTCACCCCCTCTCTCTGACCCTGAATACTCACTTGCATACACATGTGTATACACACATACATGCGTGTGTGCTACCGTGAGAGTGTGTCTCTAGCAATTGACTGGCCATTTCTTTTTAAGCACACAGCTAAATAAATCCCAAGCTCCCACACAGTTAGAAGTGGCCATATGACCGAGTGGAAGTGCCACGTGCCAGGTGAAGGTTGACTCACAGAGACCTGACCCTCCTCCTTGCTCTTCTCCCTTCCACAAAAATCAGTGGTACCATGTGTTGAGGGTGGTGGCACTGCAGGTTAGAAAAAGCTGGGTCTGCCCTGGACGATGTCCACTGAACACCTCTGACACCTCGTCAAGCAGGAGATCACCTGCCTATCACCATTAAGATGTCAGGGTGCTACTTGCATAATGTAGTGCCATTTCCTCTTAGTTTTGACCCATGTGCTCTCAAATAGCTAGAATGGAAGATGTCAACAACCAGTCGCATCCAACTGTATGCTGAGCCTTAGGATACTATCCCGGATCTGGGTGACCAGAGTTTTGAGAGTGCATTTGAGGCCCTAAATAGTTGCTAGAAGAAGAGATCAGACATATTTTATATGACAGGGCCTCTGTGTCCAAGACCCACGTGGGACACATGTAGAGTTGGTGAAGAATAGGATGTAAGGCAAGGCAGGCTCTCCTGGCTTTCCCTGTCATGGTGGTTCACCTGGGAAGTACCAACAGGCTCTGACGGAAAGGCAGCCCTCTGAGGGTGGCCTGGAGGGAGAGCAGCATCTGTGACCCTGGGGCCACACAGTCCTAGGAAAAGCTGCACTTCTATGCGTCTCTGCTTCTACAACCGGAAACTGAGAGTTGGAACCCTGGAACGGCTTGGTCTAGATGTCCCCCAAAGCCTCATGTGGTCATACGTGGAGTATTTCAGAGGTGGCTGAATCTCTGTGTGTGATGCTGGGACTAGGGATGTGTAATTACTAAATCACCCCCCTGATCGGTTTGGCACCCATTAGCCTAGACACAATGCAAGGAACAGAAAGAGGCTTGACTTCTCCTTTGTTTGCTTGCTTGCTTTTGCTGTCTTCTGTTTGCCATGAACTGGTTCTCCGCTGTGGCGTTAAGCCACCCTGCCTGGGAGCCAACTGATTATGGACTGAAACCTCTACAAGCCAAGAGCTAAATAAACCTTTCCTCCCTTAACTTGTGGTTGTTGGATATTTGGTGTTAGTAATAAGAAACGTAGTTAAGACAAACTCCATAATCACTGAAGTCCCTCCCCCACCCCGCTCTTCTATTCTGCCCTTATCAGGGATTGTGTACACAGATGTTTCCAGGAAGCAAGAAATGGGCCAGCTGGGGGCTATGGCTAGTTAGAGAATTTGCGCCCCATCTCAGGGAGGCTGTTGATCAATGTCTGGTGCATGTATATTCTGAGTTTTCAAGGAAAGTGATATATCAAGACTTTTTATCATCTAATATCCTGATTTTAAATATATTTGACAAACATGTTTTAAGTGTATAAGCACTAGGCAGGTCCATTAAGACTCACCTGTGGGCCACACTCACTTCTTAGAGCTGCCAATGTAAGGACAAAGAAGCCCGTGCCAGGGAGCTAGAGTGAGGGCTCCGGCCACTTACCTGCTTCTTAGCCCTCAGGAAGTAGGAAGAGGTATCAGCAGAGACACATGGTCTCTGCCAAGCTGGAGGAGGATCCCAAAACATTTGCACACCTCTCTCTGAGGCTCCAGCTTCTGTGTCTGCCCTGGACAGACCCTGACCCAGAGACTTGATCTGCTTTCTATTCCACCCTCTTCTCAGCCCCGTCCCCTCTCTCCCATCACCATCCCCCACCTGCTGGCAGTTAAGCAAGGACAGCAGCAGGAGATATTTCATAAGGAAGAAAATCAGTGGTGAAACCTGGGGGCCCCAGCCTTCAACCTACAGGTGACAAGGAAGAGAAGCCTGTCTGGAGAGTGGGTACTGCTGGTCACAGCATCCGGTCCTGTGCACCTGACAGCTGGCCAGACTAGGCTGGGAGGAGTAAGTGCTGGAGCAAAAGGAGCTTTCAGTCTTGGTCTGGCCAGGAGAAACCAAGGCCCCTCCTGGCCCACATCATCCTCATTAAAAACCATCTCATGTCACAGGACGCAGGTGAGGCTCCACTCAAGAGTCAGGGGACTCAGCCAATGTGCTGGCCTTGCGTCCCTTGGCTAGGGCATGGAGGAGGAGAAGAGCACATTGTGAGTCACAGGCAGCCAGGTCAGGCCTGAGAACAGAAAATTCAGCACAGGGTGATCCTTCTCCTCAGCCTGCACCTACCTGGACTCAGTGTGTTCTCTACTGCTTGTTAATTCCATGCCCCAGAGATGAAACCTCCAAATACTCTGCTTGAATAATGCTACTTGGGCGCATTTGAAAATCTCTGCCAGACTGTACCCTGTGGAGAAGCCCCCCCGCAACCAGGTGCTTCCCAGTTGTCCTTGTCCTTCTGCACTGTTTCCCATGGCAGGCTCTCCTCCTAGTGACACACATTCACAGAGGTCTGCTCAGGAAATAGGCTCATTACAGCTCTTCAAATGAGGTCAGTGTATCGCTCAGGAGCCTCCAGCCCTCCTCTGTGCACCTCACATGCACCCCTCCCCCAGCGCTAACTTCTAAACAAGAAAGATCCGGTTTCCATCCAGAAGCTTCTCTCTCTCCCTCCAACCCTCTCACCCCCTTTTCCTCCTCTCTGCCTCTCCCTCTTCTCTCTCCTTCTATCACTATGTGAGGTTAGAACGAGGGTTTCTTTTTCCAACAGGTTTTTCCTGGTAATCTCAAATCATTCCTCATAGTAAAAACAGCCCAGGGAGAGTGATTCACTCTACCTCAGATACATCACACACCCTGTTCCTTGGCAAAGCCTTGCCTCTGTCCCTCAAAACGGCCATCAAAGTCCACCTGAGGCCAGACTGTCAAGGGGGAGATGTTTCCTTATCTGACTGGCTCTCCTGGACATTCTTTGGTCCTTGTACCTTCAAGCTGATCCAGCCAGGCCAATACAGAGGCCTGATTCATCACATCCCAGTGCATCCTGATCTCATTTGGAGGTCTTTTTTTTTTTTTTGAACTGGGACTCGAACTCAGGACCTTGTGCTTGCCAGGCAGTCACTTGTGCAACTGAGCTACATCCCCAGTTGTCCTGCGCTCATTTATGTCCTTGCCCCCATCCAAGTGCCCTATCAGGACCCTCGGCACTCTCCTCTCTACTAGGCACCACAGTGGCTAATTTCATACACTATCCCTGGGTGCTGCAGTAACAAGTAGCCACAGAGGTGAAAGACTCGAGTTCCTGTCCTGGCTCTGCCACTTTTTAGCCATATTTTCTTAAGTCTCAGCCTTCCAGTTGCATCATCTGTGAAATGGGATAATGATGCCTTCTTTGGCTCCTTCACAAAGGTCAGGCAAGCGTCTGGGCTTCAGTTGTCTCAGCTGTTAATTGCAGATAATGACACCATCCCTTCCCACTTCACAGGATTGCTGTAAGGCTCAAGGATGTTTCTGCGTGTGATCATGCTTTGTACACAGAAAAGTGCTCCATTCACTGAGGTGTGAGAAGCAGAGCCTCTCCCATGCGGGAGCCAAGCAAGCCTGACATCAGCCTCCTGAAAACCTGGCCTGAGCCTAGCAATGAGAGCTGGAGGGCTGGACTCTGCGGGCCACAGCAGACGTAAAGAGGGAAAGACGCTGGGATGGTGGGCCTGCTGGAGTCAGTCCAGTCACACGACACAGGCAGCTGCCTTTGCCCATGCTGCTGGTCCCGCATGCTCACGTGGCTGGAGTTCCACTCTCTGCCTGACACCAGCAGTCTCTCCTGCGGTCTGGCAGTGCTGTCTGGATGGTGACCGGCTCCTTGGCCATTTCTTCCTTACTCTTCCTACTCTTCTCAGAATCTGTGGCATTTTCTGAGCACTCTGTACTCTTGCAGTTTAAAGGCCTCACTCCAACATCTGCCCCAGGCTTGTCCCCACACTGGGTCCTGGGAGGGTAAGAGTCCTTCCTAGCTAACCTATGCCTTGTCAAAAAGCTGAACAATGTCCAGAAACAGTGCCTTTTTCTGTGGAGGGGACCTCAGTGGAATAACAACAATAGCACTTGGTATTGATGTCACGCTGCTCACCAGGAGGCCCAGAGGCGCTGCATAGAACCATTCAAAGGCCTCTGCTCTCCTCCTGGCTGTGGTCCAGATGGGGTGGAAATGTGGAGACACCACAAAGGAAGCCAACATCAGAACTGGGGAGACCCTGTTGCTCTGGCTTCCACTCCAAAAATTCAAAGCACTCATCTCCGCTGTTGACATGCTGTTGGAGCATCAAATCAGTCCACCCCTTCTCTATGTAAGAGTGCTATCACTTACACAGTGGAAATACGGAAAGCTTCTGTCTCCTGCACAAAATGAGGGGGACAAAGGGTAACCCCTCAGGGTAGCCAGCAGGGTGGTGGAGGTATTGCCTGGTCTCTTAAGCACTGCACCAAAATTCTGTCCTTTACTGAACCTGTACAGACACCTTGCAAAAGCAGCACCCCCACCAGACACAGCGCAAATGTGGATGGCCTGAGATAATCACCCCCAATGGAGGGTCAAGAAGGGCTGATTCCCAAAAGTGTAGGTTAGTGCAGAGAGCTCACTAGAAGCAACCATTTGGGTTCGGGGCGTGAGAATGTCTTTGTCCCCTCCCTCCTCCAAAGGAAATGCAGATGTAGGCCAGGTCTGCCTTCCCTTAGCCACGCTCTGGGTTCTGAAGCGAATAACTGCACCGCATAGCAACGACAGCGCCCGCCTTCCCTTCCATGACACTCGCGTGCAGACAGCTCTAACCCTCCAGGGAAGTGGAAATCTTGCAGTCTAGGGGAAGGGAAACCCCAGCCTGGGTCCCAGGAGCGACCCTGGCGCTAGTGCCAACAAGTGCACGTTTCAGGTCAAGTGGGCATGGGGGAGACTGACGTCCCCAGTAAGATGAGCCCCTCCAAAAGCCCCTCTTTTCCACCCTGCCACTCCAGATCTTCCTCCCTCCGGACCCCGAGGCACCCCCACCCCTGCCCCGCCCCCACCTCCCCTCCCGCCGCGTCCAGCCCTAGCGGGGCTTGCTCCCACGGTAGCCAGTAGCCGGTAGCCGGTAGCCGTCGGGCACTCGTCACCCTACCTCGGTGGCCATATTCCGGGATGCTCCGGCTGCTCCTAAACTGGGGGTGGGTCGAGGATGGGCTGTCCGCGGTGCTGACTCGGTGAACGGGTGGGAAGTCCGCTGCAAGCGGGGCCAGGGAGCTGTCCGCGGTGCTGAGGTGGGCGCCAGGGGCCGGGGCTCAGCGGGCAGGGGCCCGGCGGGCACCTGGGTCCTGCAGAGGCGCGGTGCTGCGGGCTGAGGTGCTGCGGATGCGCGGCCCGGGAGGTGAGGCGGCGCCCGAGGCTCCTCTTGGCCCGATCGCTCGCTGCCGCTGCCGTGGCTCCTGCAGGCAATGGCCGGGTTTATCTTTGACAGCTGCGGAGGCGAAGAGGGCGGTGGGGGAAGGAGGGGCCAGCGCCCTGCCGGGCGGGGAGGGGGAGGCCGGGCCCCCAGACTCGGCGCCCGCGGCCGGGCTCCTTCGCCGCCCCTCCCGAGGCCCCGCCTCCCCGCCTGCCCTGCCCCCCAGGACGAGCGCCAAGAGCTCTGCGCTCTCTACGCGGCCTCTGGGGATTCCAGACTGGCAGGAGAGAGTCGGGGAAATTCTGGAGACCGGCGCTCCAGTCTGCAGAGGCTGCAGCGCCCCTCCAGGTGTTGTCTCGACCTTCCCACCCCACCCCAACTCCCCAGCTCTAACCCTCCCCACCCTTCCATACTTCAGGCTTCCTTTCCGGTATCTTTTCTATCCCTATTCATCTCTGCGCGTTCCCAACCACCACCCAGCCTTGTGTGGGCGTTTTCTCCTCGCCCTTCTCCTTTCCAGGGCCTTGAACCCTATTATATAGAGGAAAATGCCATGGGCCACCAGAATCGTTTCCTTTCCCTAGACAGGTGCTGCGTTTTATCCTCAGCCTGCTCTGGGATCCCTTCTTTCAGGGAGCTCCAAAATAAAAGCCAGTCTCTCCGGTCCGCTCCTCCTGGCCCCATGTTGCCTCCCCTCCACTACTCCCACCCCCAATCCCTGCTCCTTACTCCCCTCTCTGCTTTGCAGTTCGGGGGTTTACCATGACCACCAGCACTCAGAACCCACAGGCACAGAATGCCAACCCCATACGTCCCTTGTCCACGGGTGGTGGTCTGGACCGGTGCTGCCTTCACATTTTCAACATCACGCCTCCCGAGGAAATAGTTATTTGCTTAAAAGCTAAGAGCAAAACCTCAAGATAGGAGCCCTTTGCACACCCCTTGCCCCTGAGTCTCTGAGGGAAGATGGTTGTGTTCCTATCCAGATCGCAGCTACTTAAGCATCAAGAGCAATAGCCCCAACAAATGAGAGGCCAGCACTGGGGGACCCATGTGTCCCCCAGCCTTCTCCAGCTGTTTGATCCCAGACAAATGTCTCACTTTCGGAGCTCATAGTCCTCATTCTATAAAATAACAGTGTTAGACTTCACTAGACTATTTCTAGAATCCTTTTTTCTTCAGACTTTATGAAGCCTTTTATGTGAAATCTCCCAAACATACAAAAAGTTGAAAGAATAGTACAATACACTATACTATCCAACTGCTTCAACAGTAGCTAAAGTTTTACACTTGCTTTATCGATAGGTGTAAAGCATAGATACACTGGGCTAGATTATTATAAAATATCAGATACTGAGGTGTTATATCTTAAGTACTTCACCATGCATCTTGTAAAAGTAAAAGCATCCTCCTATCTAGCCACAGTATCATTGTCACATCTTTTTCTCTTTTCCTTTTTGGTACTGGGATCCCGCCTCAGGCTGGGTCTCACACTTGCCAGGCAGGCACTGAGCTACTGTGCTACATCCCCAGCCTCGTCATCTCTTAAAATCCTTTATCATCGAGCAGCCTAGGGTCGCTTGTTGCCCTGAGAATACATTGATAGTAATTCCCCCAGAACTTTTTGGCTTTGATATCGATCATTTATTATGAAGTTACTATTGTCAACCCACATGCTACACACTTTGCTTGTGCTCTCTTTCAGAATCAGTCTTTGAGTTATATGATCTTTACATTTGATTATTGTATCATTTTATTATTCCCACTTTACAAATTAGGGAGCTGAGAAGAACAAGGTCAATGGCTTGTGAGAGACAGAGCAGGAGTCCAACACAGTCAGTCAAGCTCCAGAGCCTGCATGGCCTGTTGATCCTTCTAGTGGTGCCGCCTCCTTCCAGCACCTTGTAGACCATGAACCAGGAGAGCAGGAACCCTGACTGCCTATTGTGCAGATGAGCACACTGAGTCTCAGATGGTTGTGATGTGCCAAAGAAGGTAAAAGCAGGTGTTTGTTTCTCTTATATAATTCAGCACACTTTTGGACTTCAAGGAGAAAACTTGGAATATCTGTGAAGCCTATGTTCTCTGGGACTAAAGGAACGCATCACCAGATGATCTCCGTGTATTTTTCACCATTCTTCTCACATTATTTTTATCATATTAATTTAATAACTCTGAAAATGACTCTCTTCACCCAATGACTAGAGGCCCAGCTAAGACCACTCGACAGATTCGATTAATATATATTTGTTAAACAGCTACTGTGTAACAAAAATATCTACTGTGTAAATATCTATGTGTGACAAACTCTCCTGGGAATTTGGGCTACAGCAATGACTAAATACATAAAGATTCTGTTATTGTCAATTTTGCATAACAATGGGGGATCACAGTCCACAACAGAGAAGCAAATAAGTAAAAAATATGTTGAGTTGTGGCAATTGCTGGGAAGAACAGTGGAGCCTAGAAAGGAGATAGCAAAGGAAGGTATTATAGATCAAATAGTAAGGTGAAATTTGGGGAGAGTTGGGGGGACCTAGAGCGATGAGTAGGGGTAGCTTTGCTATGTTTAAAGATAGCCCAGAACCACTCTGGCTAGATTAGATAAGCAAAGAGAAGAGAGGTGGGAATTCAGATCAGAGAGGTAGTGGGAACCAGATCTCACAGGGCCTTGGAAACCCTATAGACTTTCAATCTTACTTAAAAAGTAAGGTGGCAAGCCATACAAAATTTAAAGTAAAACTATGGCATTACCTAACTGCAGATTTTTAAAGATTACTCTGGATGTTAGGCTTGAAAGGGAAGCAAGGCTAGAAGTGCAAGACCAATTAGGAAGTTGTTAAATTGGCAAGCTGTAGTGATGGCTTAAAATAGGGTAGTGGCAACGAAGGTAGTAAGAAGTGGCAAGGTCCCGGCTATAACTGAAGGTAATCTGACAGGGTCTGTGATGCACTAGATGTGTTGTCTGAAAAGGTAAGATTTTCAATCTGAGCCACTGGGGTGGGGCTGCCGTTCACCACTGGTAGAAACTTAGTATTGAGCAGGCTTGAAGGAATGAAGGGCACAGCATTTCGGTTGTGTGTAGCTGACTGGTTTGAAGTCCGATGTGCATATAACAGAGTAACGGAGAAGGCAGTCCGGGCTTGGCAGAGGGGTGGAAATGGGAGATCAAACTTTAAGAGTCACCCATATGTGAATGGCATTTAAAACCATCAGGTCAAATGAGATCATTTAAGAAGCAGGTAGAGCTAGGAAAGTTGTGCAAGAACTTATCCTGAGCACCTTTTCAGTTACACGCTAGAAGATAAAAGAAGGCAGTGAAATACTGCTTTGGATCACTTGGGAGGAGATCCGAGAGAAAGTGGTACCCAGGCATCCAGCAGAGAAGGCCTGGGGGAGAGCTCCGCCTGCTGTGTTGCATGTTGCTGACATGTAGGGTACCACGAGGGTTGAGAAATGACCATTGCACCTGGCAGCAGGAAGGCTAAAGGTGACCTGAAAAAGAGCTGTTTGAGAGGCAATCCTGATTAAAGTGGGTTTGAGAGTTAGACTGGAGAAGAGGAAGGAGAAATACTGAGCATAGAGAAAATTCTCCAGAGGCATTTTGCTATAGAGGGGAGTAAAGAGCAGCACAGATGTCTAAGGGAAATGTGGGAGCAAAGAGGTTCTCTGGAAGATGGAAGCCAGCGAGTTTACCTTAAGCTGATAGGAAGACTAGTGAGAAAGAAACACTGCTAGCTCAGAGAAGAGTGAATTTGTAACAGGAGAAAGCCCTAGGTCAACACAGAACAGGACCTAGGGGCCACACAGAAAGGCTGGCTTTGGAGAGGAGCATAGTCAGCTTTCCACACAGATAGGGAAAGAGGAAGAGTCAATGGCCACAGGTGTGAGCTGGCTAGATCTCTTCGCATAAAGAAAGACCTGAGCTCTACTCCTTGCTCCACTTCAACTAGCCAAAAATTATTCATGACCTTTCCCAACAAGTACATTCAACACATACAGGTACAAAGCTTGCCAAGTGCTAAGCATGGTGTTGTTACTTTCCTGCATAGTTCAGAGAGAATTCTTCCCACTGATACGACAGGACTAGGACACTGTGTAAGGCCTTGAGATCCTGCCAGAACCAAAAAAAAAAAAAAAAAAAAAAAGCCATCTTACTGTCCAGCTCCAAGGGAAGGGAGCCCTTTTCCCAGCATTGCCTCCAGGGTATTCATAACAACCTGGATGGACCTCACAGTTTGGAGTCATCAAAGTGGAAACCATGGAGAGCCAGAAGCGTCATGCCATGCTGACTCAGGCTGGGATGGGATACCATGGGCTGGGATGTTCCCACACCCCTACCATCTAAACTGGAACTCCTGAAGCAGAGGGAAGCCTTTGAGATGTAATCTGACTAATCATTATTATTCAGATGCCTTAGGACAACTCAATCCTGTGCAGGAGCCCAGGTCTTTCATGTTTTTATCATACATTAATGAGTTCACCCACAAAATGACATCAAAGAAGATCTACTAACGAATTCATCATTATCATCTTCCAATTTGTGGCTGCGTTGGAAAGTCTCCCAAAAAAAAAAAAAAGGACTAGAGCCAGAAAAAGAAACTAACTGAAAGATTTGGAAATCCTGATATCTGGAAAGAGATGAGAGAAAAATGAAGTGCAGACTGCAGGGAAAAAGCTCACAAACCTCAGAGAATGGAGAAAAAGTAAGAGAGGGGCAGAAGCTCAGCGCTTGGGCCTGGGAGGAAAACAGCGCTGTGAAGGCTTGAGGGGGAAACTGGCCCTCAAGGGTCATCACACAGCATGCTGTGGGGACTGAGGAGGCATGTGCAGGAAACTGCCCCTGCAGCCAGAGGAGTGGGTTTCAACCTCTGGCTCTGCTACTTAGTACACGATCAAAAGCGAGTCTCAGCGTCTCTGAGCCGCATTCTCTGGTATGTAAAATGTTGACAGTAATGCTTTCTCCCCAGGAAGGATCCACTTGAGCAGAGGAGGCTTTCCCTTGACTTACCTGATTCTTCTAAATCAGGTCCAGGACAAAAGCAAGTCAAGATTTATAGAGCTGCCTTGCTGGCGATCTCCCCACAGCGACAGTGTCTCCACACCCAGAAGGATTTCCTAAAGCACAGAGAAGATATCGGCAAACACAGCTCATTTCACTTGGTGAGCAGCCCCTGACCCTTGCCTCGATGCCAGGAAGAAAGATGACCATGGGGCACTTCCAACCCCACACAGATACCAAAATATAATAAAGCGGTGACCAGTGCTACCATTTAAATATGGTCTGTCCCCTCTGAAATTCATTTTGAAATTTAATCTCCATTATGAGATATTAAGAAGTAGAACCTCTAAGAGGTGATTAGGGCCCACAAAATTAATGGATTAATGGATCTTGGTTATCTCAGAGCAGATCTTCTATAAAAACCAATTTAGCAAGCAGCGCATCCGGAGGTCCCGCGGATCTGTTTTTGCTTCAACAGTGTTTGGACGGAACAGACCCAGGGACTCCCTCTTTCATCTTCCCATCCACCTTCCAGGTACAAGTTTCGGGACCTATCGCCTCCTTCTAGGACCGGACAACACCGTTCTTTTGTGGGTCGCTCCTTATTGCTG